GAATTCTTCCCGGTATTGCAACACGCTCGTGCACGGCAGGTAAATTATCGTAACAAAAAGGAAGAACAAATCGAAACTGGGTCGAGTTGAACGATCGCGCAAACGCTTGGCAAACGTATAACGCGTGCGGTATAATGAGCCGACGGTTGTTGACAAACAATCCTGTTTACAAATAGCCAATCCGAGGTTCTTGCGCCCGTTCGGTGGCGCTCGATGACGAAAATAATTACTCGGCCCGCGTTACCCGTGCCAAGGGTTATGATACGGAGCCGCCCGTAGTCGTTATGTAAGACGCGAGTATACGCGAAGTCGACAGTTTCGTGTCAAGGAGTCCCCATTTTTCCGTTTCTAACGTGCCACCGTTCTTCGAGGACGTCGCTAAGTGGGACTAGTCGTTCGCGTATGAAATAAATCTATCAACTACGATAACGTAACGATCGTATCTCTATTAAGGTACGAGGCGAGAAGTGGAATGTGCGCGGGCTGCATGCTGCGGGCTGCAAAACGAAAAGTCATTAAGGCGATACGATAGAACGCAAAATTAAAACTTTCGATCGTTCAAAACATTTACTACTTTTGTGTAAAATAATATAACTATTAATGCAGTATTCATAATATGTGACATTTGAAAAATGCGTAGTATGAAATCATTCAAGGGAATCTTCGATCGCTCAAATGTCAAAAACGTTTTTGACAAAGAATATAAATGAGATTTTTTTTTTTTGCATTTTATATGATAAACATTATTTCAATGTGAATTCTTGTCGTAACTTGAACAACAGGATGCATATATTGACCACGTGTTTTTAGTCGCCTTTGAGGATATCGAAATTTGCGGTGTAACAACGGCATTCGGTTAAGATCCATGTGTGTCGAGCTGATGAAGGTGAACGAACCTGGAACAAACCGGCCTCGCTCGGGAGACGATCTATCTCAATAGCTCGTAGGCATGTAGGCACTAGATTTTCCCTTTTACTTACCTTCCTTATGCTAATACGCGTACGTCTTACTTTACGTTAATCGAATAAGCGAATGAATAAGCTTCCTTTCCGGGACAACTTCGGTCTCAGGTGATTGCGTTATTTCGCAGGGCTTGCGACATTTTGCATGACACGACAACAACTCGGTGTGATTAATATCTTTCGCTTTCCTATTGTATAATACATCCGTACTGTTTCCAGGCACGCCAATTTCTCGAGTTGCCACTTTTTTTTTAAATTTGCAATTGCATTTCTTGCATTTATAAAGTAACGTGTCTCTTTATATAATTTCTCTTCTGTCAATTGTCCTTCACGTGTCATACGTGTATACCCGTATGGTTTTTAATAATTTGTCATTTAGTCGGTAGAATTAACATGTGAAAAGACATATTCAATAGTCGATTCTATATGCGCTATCAATAATTTTTGATATGATTATTATTATGCAATGTCATTATAGTGAGGAGAGCGACAGGCGATTGAATTATTACTCGGTTCTATATCACAAACAAGTCGTTTGATACTGTATACTTTAAGTACCTTGCCTGCGATCGATGAGCGAAAGTTGTTCGCCTATGCCTCGTTACGTTCAATATTCTACTTCCAAACAATTATAGACAAAATTGGACAATTGGACAAAATTACTCTAAGAGTTTTGTTCTAAGTACCTAAGAAATAGGCAAGAATGTAAATGTCAATCTAATCTCTAATCAATACAAGGGGAATTAACTAATGAATGCACTCTTGCGCAAGAGCTACCGCTAACGAAGAAACAGATGAGACATAAATTTGCGTAAACAATAAAGCACATACGTAATTTCTTAATATGGAATTTCGTGTCGACGACGAGAATGAATATCCTGCGAGATTTCCTATCGCGGTTGTCGAGTTTATGTGCGTAATTTATATGCGTAAGCAGCGTTACGCTCGTGGAAACCGGTATTGGAATTTCCCAATAGCCTCATAGCCGATGACGAATGATAAAGATTCCGCGGACTAAATAAATCGTGAGCGTGTGTAATGAAATGCGAAAGGCGCTGTCGTATAGCTCGGACGATTTTGCTACGACGTCGCGCGCGTATGCGTGTGCGAATTGTTACACGCTCGGTCGTCGATTCCGCGACGTGTGTTGTTTTATCGGAGTAAATCGAGTGTTCGTTATCGATAAAACGGCTGAACGATCGTTCCAGGAACAATCCAGGAGTAGCGACACGGAGCCTGTACTTACCGCGCGGCGTGTTTTCACGCACATAGTTTACGCATGTAGAGTGCTGGTTTGCGCAGTGCCCACTTAGTGTCGATATGTCAATATCGAGAACGCGTTGCAGCACGTGTTGTCTGCAAGATTGCGTAGCTTTAGCATACTCTCTGCTTTCACGCGAAAATTATTTTTTTTTTTTTTTTTTTTTTTTTTTTTTTAAAGGGCTGTATCGTGCCGCGGTCTTCTGAAACAGTCGAGGGAAAAATCCGAAGAATTATAGGATTTATTGCAACAAGCTTTAAATCTAACGTAATTTAAGTCTACTACTAAATCGCCTCGCCTAAATTCTATTCATTATATTTCTGCATTAACGACAATATAATTTATATAAAAAATAACTAAAAGTTATTTAAATAATTTTAGTTTTAATTAAAAATTATTTTTTATAAAATGTATTTAAGAAATACGTTATCAATATATAATAATCATACATTTTAATAAATAACCCTTTTATAACTAATGTCACAATTTTGTATTTCTTTCATTCGCATTTCTCACATCACTCTTTTGATATTTACTTGATCTTAAATGACAATTTATTTCGCTTTCGCTTAATGTGCTTTGGAAGATTGGAAGATTGGAAAGTTAGATTATATTGCATAACAATCATAACGCGGGAGCTCGAACGCTTGCCGATAAACGATTCGTTATGATTTATAATGATTACTTATTTTTGGCTTCACCTAATCTCCCCAGACGCGTTTTACAGCGATCGCTTTTGAGTTTACGATTAGTAATGAACAGATTGTAATTGATCTATAATTGTCAGCTAGAGAGCAAGGAAAATTAGCGGTTTTAACAATCGCCGATAGTCATAGCGGTACTTACCGTTCGGAATTCAATGACGCCGTTCACGGCTAGGACTATTAAGGTGCACTTTGTGCAATGTAGGTTTTCGAAACCATCTGATAAATTTTGTAAAGGAGGGAAGAATACGCGATCTTTGTCGCGTCATTTCCATACGCGTTTGACCTCGCATTCTTTTTGATCGCGCAGCACATAGCTGCGGATGATATCAAGTATGTACATTCGGCTAATACACGCGATCGTTAGTAGAATGCCGGTAGAATTATCTAATAAATATTCTATGTACGATATGTGCTGCTTCGCTTTACCACCTCTTGATTTGCTATTCGATTTGATTCGCGGCAAAATTTTCTTCGAGCCGCCATTTAATACTATCCGTACCGTTCCGCGATCGATTAATATTTCAGACGCATGAATATTTCGCGAGGTATTTAGCGTTGTGACTGTATCTACCTCATATGTACATACACATCGGAGTTATCAAAGTGCGATTAACGTGACGTGAGAGGCTCGGCGTACTATCGACAAGATACGACTTTAATTCGCTTCGATTTCTCACGAGCCCCTCTATTAATTCTTTACAGCCCGGTACTTATTATTTTCCAAACGAGATATTTACTATAGTTAAATGACTTTTTGATTGTATTCAATTTGTGCCGTTGCTGAATTGCCGGATCCGCTTTCGGTTTTCAGATTGTAGCGATATTTTTCATCATCAACGTTTTACGAGCCCTCCACAGCGGATGATATCGAATTTCCGTGACGATATCTAGATACTGACGAGTCGGCCAATAGCGTTAAAGAGTTAAATGCACTGCCAGAACGAAATTTGACGAAGGTACTGTTTCTAACGAGCCTGCGAATTTCATCGCTTGTTAGGATTAAGTTACAAGAAAATACGATAGTCAGAACAGTTTTCGAGGTGTTCCCCTCCCACCCTCCTCCCCGTTTATCAAATGCGTGAAATTATACAAAACGTTGTAGCTCAAAATTTGCGCAGAATCTCTCGGGTGACTTTGTAAATTATACATAGGAGCCATTCTTAGCGAGTTACAGGAATATGCGGGTACTGGGTAGTTCCGGACACAAGTACGACTACTCGAAGTTTCCCGAGCACTCGAACTTCCGAGTTCTCAAACTCTCAGGGTAAGTCTGCAATTTG